TAGATATTAGTAATAGTAATTTTAGAGTGTTCTCCACTGTTCACGCATTATAATATTCCTGAGGTTTTTTTATTTTAGACTAGTTATTTATTTCACAAAATAAATTCAAAAGCTTTGTGTATTTAAGAATTGAATCATATACGTCTGGATTTCATAATGAAAACAATAGTTTTGAGCAACACACACTGCAACTCCCAGAGCTATGATGGAAAATCCTAAAACATTTGGGAAGGCTGTAGGACAAAAGGCAAGCTTCTTAGGCAGCCTTGAATCCCAGATTTTTTATTTTATTTGAGAAGCAGAAGGAATGGGGCAAGGGAGAACAGAAGGAGCAGGGCCAGGAGAGCCATGCTCTACAATTCAAAGTGGGGAGTGGCCAGTTTTATGAAGTTTCAGCAACACAAAACAAACCTCAAGCAATGCAGGGTAAGCTGGAATAGAGGGACTGTGGCTGATTCATGCTACTCAGGTGTTGGTGGCTTTGACTGTGGTTGGGAATTTCCCAGCAAGAAGGCATACCTTTCCCTCTAACTCTTAAGAAATAGGTTACACTTCATATCCACCCATAAACCGATATTATGCTCCTTCCCACTGCAGCACCACAAGTGGGATAGATGATAAAGGAACTCATCTTTTTAGGTTTTTTAAAAAGGGTCGAAGCTGCAATGGGAATTGTCCAGGCTGCAGGTCCTCTACAGCAGGCGTCGCCAACCTTTTGGACTTCAGGGACCACCAAACTCATAATTTTAAATCCCGCGGACCACTAATATGAATTTTGACTGACAGTGGCTTGCTGATGTTGGTGGAAAGTCGGTCCTGTATTCCAGAGGTGCAGTAGTCACAGGATTGGCCCTTTGGTCATTCCAGAGCAGCTGCTCTTCCACCTGGGTGCACCGGCCTGCCATGCACTGGAGGAGCTGCTCTGGGATGACCAAAGGGCCAGTCTTGTGACTACTGCACCTCTGGAATATGGGACTGGCCCGTGGTGGGGTTGGAATCCTCCACCATAGGGGGTGGCATGTATAATGTGCAAATTTGCGGGTGGTGCAACGTGCAAAAAGCAGCGCAGCCCTCGCTGCCAGACGAGGTAACGGTGCTGTTGCAGCAAGAGGGGGCTGGCAGCACAGGTAGGTTGAAGCAACAATGGAGATGGCTGGAAGGTGCGGGAACGCTATGCTACTTGCATTTGCACAGCATCAGCATTCCACCTTTGGTCAAGGAGCCCAGCCAAAGTTTCCTGCAGCGCTCGCGCTTCAGCATTTTGACTCCCAGGGACAGGAGTTTGGCCAAACTATCTGCAAAATTGTCTCTCTCTCAAGGACCGTTCTCAGAAGCAGCATGGGAAACTTCGGCCAGGCTCTTAAGAGACAAGAGTGACTCCAGCTGCTTCTCTCCACGAGTGCTCTGAGAGAGAGAGAGACTGTTTTGCAGGTAGCTTGGCTGAACCTTGGGAGTCAAAGCACTGAAGCACGAGCGGCGCAGGAAACCTTGGCCGGGCTCCTCGAGCAAGGGTGAAATGTTGATGCCCCGCAAATGCAAGTAGCGTGGCGCTCCCGCACCTTCTAGCCATCTCCATCACCACTTCGGCCCGCCTGTGCCGCCGCCCCCCTCCTGCCACAACAGCACCATTAACCTCGTCTTGGCCTGCAAGGGCTGCGCTGCTGTTTGCACATTGCACCACCTGCAAATTTGCACATTACACATGCCACCTGGAGATTTCCAACCCCACTAAGGACTTGTCCCATCTTCCAGAGCTGAAGTAGTCACAAGACTGGCCCTGGTTGTCCCGGAGCAGCTCCTCCAGTCCATAGTAGGAGCAGCTAGTAGGTGGAGGAACAGCTGCTCTGGGATGACCAAAGGGTCAGTCCTGTGACTACTGCAGCTCTGGAATATGGGACCGACTTTCCCACCAACGTCAGCAAGCCATCCCGGGGCGCATTTTCCTCCCCTGCCGTTGGTCTTACCTTCCAGTTCCAGTTTGCGTGGCTCTACTCAAGGTAAGGTTTGCATTCGGCTGAGGGTGGGGGTCAGCGGGTGGGTGGGCCATGTGGGCAGCACAGCCTTGTGTTCCCACGCAGCCTGGATTAATTGCTTTGGGGGGGTGCTTTGGAGGGAACATTTCTCTGCAGACCACCAAAATTTTCTCACGGACCACCAGTGGTCCCTGGCCCACTGGTTGGCAACCACTGCTGTACAGCATAGAATAATGCAGGTTATTCAAACAAAATGTTCCATTTAAAATGGAAAGGAAGTGTTCCCTATTATAAGAAAGAGTGATGTGCAAATACAGAAATCTTTGCTTAATGTCAGCAACCAGAACTGTCAGAACTGCCATCGCTAAGCAGCAGTCTGGGGAAATTGTGCTTTATAACTAAGCAATTTAGTAATGGCAATTCCAATCCCAATTGCAGCTATAACAATGACTACTTGTAGTTCGGACACTGAAAACAACAATATAGGTGTTGAGATGAGATCCAGAGAGGTTTCCCTGCACTGTTTTCATTTTAACTGCAGATTAAGTGATATTTAGGTACACACACACACACACACACACATACATATAGTTTGGTCAAGATAAATAAGATATTCTATTCTTTTGTTATGTAATTGTAATAAAAGGGCTGTAGTGTAGTTTGATGATAAATGCAGAGAGAAAGGCTGGAGATTAGAGGACTAAAGCTGCATGCAGATTCAGACAAACACATAAGAAGAAGCAACATTATAGCCTACCTCCCAGCTAGAGGCCTGATTGACAGGGAAACAGAAAACACAGGTAGAAGAAAGGTAGTTAATTTTTTGAACCTCAGCATCCTTTACTCTCTAACTGATCACTGGCTAGTCCCAAGGGTATGTTTGAACTGAACATAAAGTACGTGTTCTTTAGGACTAGGGTTGGGAAGAGTGTTAATTCTGCAATGCAAAATCCCTCCCCTTCTTAATGGGGCAGCTAGAAATTGGCTTTTTATACCTAGCTTCATTCTGTCTATCCCTAAGATCTCAACAATGAAAGAAAATCAATTCTGATTGAGATCTGACCATATAATTAACATAGTAATTCCAATTTGTGACACTTAAATATTTATCACAAGATGCTGGCTCAGGGATAAAAAACTGTATTGGCTGAACAAGCTATCTGAAATTAGCATGGTTCTCATCAATTCCTAACTGCATTTTCTACCCTCATCCATATTTATACAATGAAATATATAGAAATAAATGGAATATTTATGAAAAATTGAGATCTACAAGTGTTTATTTCCCTGCCCGTCCATTTTTCTTCATGGAATCTATGATATGAAACAGTGATATCACAGTAAAGCCATATGCCTCATTTCCCCTTCAAGGAACTTCTTTAGTCCTGATATTCAAACTACTGCCACATAACTTTAGCTGTGAAAACTTTTAATAAAGTTATCCAAATGGATTCAATACTTTGGTCCTCAACTCACACTAACTTATGGCTTGTTTGGTTTCTACTTCATGAATGGAGTCTAAACATTTTGGCTTATAGACCCAAAGAATCATAAGATGTATGTGTCTGAAAGGACCATATTAGTTATGTAGCTCAGCTCCCTACTCCGAATAGGAATTCATTAACCATGCCTAAAAAGTAGAGATCCAATCCCCACTTGAAAAATTACAGTATAAGGAAGCAGAAGCTCCATTTAACAGCTCTTATCATTAGAGAACTAATCCAAATATCCAGCCTAGGTTTTCATTTCAACCTGCTGGTTCTTATTCATCTCTCAATTCTAATAGAAAACCTGGCACCAATCTTGCACATGGTTAACTACTGTGTGTATCTGTGAATAAGATTTCTTTTTTGCAAGCTGAATGTATTCCAGCTTTTCCATTATCTTTTTAAAGTACAATGCTTAGAACTGAATGTAACAAGCCAACAGTAATCTTACCAGTGCAGTGTGTAATGAAATTATTTCCTACTAGCTGAATAGCCGTGCTTCATGACGAAACTATGAGATCAGGCTATGCAGGAGAAATTTGGTTCACAATCACTTGGTTCAGTGGTGATTGAAACACATAAGAGTTTCCTTTCCTGTCCTGTCCTGCCCTGTCCTTTCCCCTTTCCATCCCTCCTTTCCTTTTTCCTCCTTTCCTTTCCTTCTTTCCTCCTTTCCCTTTCCTTCCTCCTTTCCTATCTATCTATCTATCTATCTATCTATCTATCTATCTATCTATCTATCTATCTATCTATCTATCTATCTATCTATCAAAAGTGTTATACTGTAAAATACAATCCTCCGTTGTCCCAAAGGTGCTTTTTTTCAGGAGACAACTGGACTTTCTGGTTTTTCTTTGAAGATGTTTTTCTTCTCCAAGGAGCTTCTTCAGCTCTGACTGGATGGTGGGTAATAAAAATACTACAACCTTTGATGCCTAAGTAGCTTCCTGTTTGGAATTGTAATATGCATCCTTTTAGAGAATGGTTGAGGCAACTTGGAAGTCTGTGTCACTTGAGTGGTGCAGATGGCTGTGGAGTTACTAAGGTAACGGAATGTGAGGCAACTGGCAGTTGGAAGAGAGTTCTTTTCAGTGGGGAGGGGGAATAGAACTCCTTAGCATCAGAGCTTGTTAGTTACTGTATTAAGAAATACTAATGATTGAATGGTAATTTCAAAAAATCCTTTCTTAGCGAGCACCTAGAAGCTAAGAAGAACATATGTGCCAAATTTCAAGTTTGGAGGCTTTACAGTTCTGGAGATTTCATGATGCTGCGTGAGTGGTATTTTGCTTTTATAGATTGGTTTGCATAAAAAATTTCTATTAATGTATATTACATTGGCCTTTCATTATGACAATTAACAAACTACAGCTTAAATGATGTGCCAACGTACTCTGTGTTTATTTTTTCTGATAGACAATATAAAATGGGCCACAAGAATGTTTGGGAAGGAGAGAGGTTAATGCTCCTTTTGATCATCACTCTAATTCCTCTCCTAAAATGAGATACTGCAATGAACCCTGCTACAGAATGTTCTTACCTGGCTAGTTATCTTACTGAAAGCATCTTGCAATTTGCCATGCAGCACTGCCAACTTCTTGAAGTCACGGTTGGCTTCATGGATTGGAATGAAGATCTTGTAGGTTTCATTGACAGCCTCATAAAGTCCACCCTGGGAATAATGAAGCAAGAATTCAGAGCGCATGGAACATCCCATCAGGGCAGTTCTGACAACTAAGAAGCAAGTATCAAGGTGGCTAATAGGAGAAATGAGGGACAACTGGAATGTAGAAGCAGTCAGTACTTCAACAAGCTGGATAGGTAGCAGGTACACTAAAAATAGTACTTTGCAGAAGACTGGCAATGCTTCTCTTCTAAGGAATGTACCAAAGACTGATAAAGGCTACTTGAGGAATAATTTGCTGTCCCATGGAAGAAAACATTTAATTGTTACTATTATACAACAATTTTCTATCCTGATCCTGGAAATGTATTGTGCAAAGTACGTATAATTAACTGAAATGTAAGATTTTTTTTGTTATTTTAAAATTTATTTTAAGGCATGTTTTAGGGATAAAATGGATGATATCCTTATCCACAATTGCATACATTCTCTGAAATCAATTGGGCTGATATATCTAAGAAGGGGTTTACTGGGTATTCCCTCAACTAGAGACTTCCTTGTGTAGAAATCTCGGGCTATTGAAGGGCTACCACAGACCCTTTAAGAACTGGAATCAACAACTAGCAGGAAAACATGCCAGCCTTTTGATGAGCTCAGATGCCAGGAGTGTTTTCCTAGGAAAACAGCTCCAAAATATTGATAGCTCCTGGTTCTACACCTGATCTGGTGTGGTATGGTTTATGTGATGTACATTCTTTATGAGTGCTTTGTATCTGTTATGCTAATACAGACAAGAACTGCTGATATGGAAGGGCAGAAATTGTGCTATTCTTGGGCTATTTGAACTTCAGACATTGTTCTAAATGATTCGCATGTAAAGTGGCTCAATTTGAGCATCTGAAACCATGACCCCACCCCCCCCCCCCCCCAGTGCATAGGAAGCCAAGCTGTTTCCTTGTCTATTTTCCCACTAGTAAATCAGCCAGGTACCATCAAGGCAATATAGAATTCTTTTGTAGGTTGGAAATAAGGGCACACAAGGGTCATGCCACATTTGAAGTTCTTACCAAAGTAAATGAAGAAGCTGCTTGCTCAAGCAAGCCTACCAGTCCTTGTTCTGTGAAGTATTTTCCAGAACAGATGCCCTCTTCATCTGGGGACAATATGTCATCTGAAACAGCAGACTCTTCTAGCACATTGGAAGATATGTTCTTGGAAACAGAGATAAATTACTGAGATAAATTATTACATCCAATTTTGGTCAACACAATACCAAAAAAAAGATGTTGAAACTTTAGAAAGAATGCACAGAAGAGCAACAAAGATGATTAGGGAGTCAGAGGCTAAAACAAAGTGTATGGTGAACAATTGTAGAAACTGGACATGTCTAGTCTAATGAAGAGAAAGACAAGGAATGACATGATAACAGTCTTCCAATAGGGGCAGCCACAAAGAAGAGAGGGTCAACCTATTCTCCAAAACATCTGAGGGCAGGACAAGAAGCAACAGATGAAAACTTATCAAGGAGAGAAGCAACCTAGAACTAAGGAGAAGTTTCCTGACAGTGAGAACAATTAGCCTCTAGAAGTTGTGGGTGCTCCATCACTGGACGTTTTTAAGAAGAGACTGGACAGCCACTTCTCCAGAATGGTATGGACCCTTCCAACTCTGTTGTTTTGCATTCTGTAAAAACCTTTTTACTGTCTCATTCTCCCAAAGCTGCTTAGGTAGAGAGGAATAACTCACTCTAGAATTGAGGTAGGCAACTTGGTCTTTTCCAGGTATCTTGGCTGAAACTCCCATAATTCTTAGCCACTTATCATATTATCCCTATCTCATAAATTGAATTCCAAAATCAGATTAAAGTCCTCTGAGCTATAACTTCCTTGAAACACAGAGATCTTATCAAGATATGGAATATCGCTGCTCTATTTCTGGTTCTCTTGAGAAAACTTAGAAAGTGGGCTTGGTTCTGGTTTCTGGTTCTCTTGAGAAAACTTGGAAGGAGCTAAAACATTTCCTTTCAACAGCAGATATAAAAAGTACAGAGTAAATGAGTAGAAGTGTTGTGCTATTCTGACATAGTAGTTTAGTCCTTTTACAACAACTGCTCTGCTGTTACCTGGAAAGTGACGCAGCCCACCGGTAAATAGCGGCAGTCTTCCAACATACTCAGATATTCAGCTACCAGTGCAGCAGAATGCACCAAACACTGTGCTGCCTCTGCATGGTTTCCACGTTCAGAATGCTTTGCTGCCATGTTCTGCAGCCATGTTAGCCTCAGATCTGGTGACGCCTGGTATCCCTTGGCTATCCTGAGAAGCAAATTATGTCAGAGACGAAAGTCTTAACTTTTATGCACATCTACACTAAGTGCCTTTCTCTCCCTCTTACAGTATGTAAGGTGGAGAGTTTTTGTCATACAGGGTGATCTCTAGCGACATTGCTATGTTCCTTAGTTCAATTTTGTACCTTTCCTACTTTTTCTACCTTTTAAAAGCAGGCACATTCAGTGTTTTAAATCGAAGACAAGTGCCTTTCTGCTCATACTAGTTAACAGTTTTCCCCAACTGTTTGCTCATCTTGGGTTGTAATACCCTGTCATCAGAAACAATGGGAGTTCTAGCTCCAAACCTCTAAGTGGAATTACAGCCTGATAATTCATGTAGGATGAAAATGAGAAAAGATATTTCCAACTCCTAATTATTTTCTCCTTTGATATTCCAGCTATGTACTCCTTTTCCAAGCTCAAAATGCCTGATGCCTTTACAGTAAAGTTATGAAAACCCAAGCTCCCTCTTCCTTTCTATAATAAAGTAACTGGATACCCGTGCTTCCCGACGAAACTTTGTGATTGAGCTATGCAGGAGAAATTTGGTTCATAGTCCATTGACTCAGTGGTGGTCGGTGATTGAAACACATAAGGGAATATCGTTCCCGCCGCCTTGAGTCCGGAAGCAGTTCAATAGGTGGAAGGCGTAGACATTTTGGTGAGGTACCAACGTAAGGAGCCCCAGGTCGCTCCTGAGTGAAGGAGTGGAACGTCTGCCAGTTTGAACTGAGGTAACGGTATGTGAGGCAAGTTGGACCAGAGTTCTTTTCAAGAGGGGAGGAGGAATAGAATGTCTAACTCCTTTAGCATCAGAGCATGTTAATATAAGGCAACTGGCAGCTGGACCAGAGTTCTTTTCAGGTGGAGAGGGGGAATAGAATATCTAACTCCTTAGCATCAGACCATGTTAATATAAGACAATTGCAGTTGGAACAGAGTTCTTTTCAGGTGGGGAAGGGGAGTAGAACTCCTTAGCATCAGAGCATGTTAATTACTGTATAAGAAATACTAATGATCTGTTGGTCATTTCAAAAAACCATTTCTTAGCGAGCACCTAGAAGCCAAGAAGAACATAGGTGCCAAATTTCAAGTTTGTAGGCTTTATGGTTCTGGAGATTTTGTGATGAGTGAGTGGTACTTGGCTTTTATATATATAGATTACCCCTTATTGGCTTTGACAGAGGCTGATATCAATAAAACCAGTACTGAGCAATATTTTTTTTCTAAGAAAGCTATTTTTGGTGAAGGCTCACAGTGGCCACGAATATCCAACTAATGAACTTAATGTCAAATGTGATTTCTGAACATTCCCTAAAAGGACTGGGAACAAGACAAAATAAATCAGGAAATTTGCATCTGGAATGGCTTCCTTTTTCTTGACTCTCTGGGAAATATCCAGCAAAGAATTAAGGCTGTGAAAGTAAACTATTCTGGAGTTTTCTTAATGCTTCCTCTACTGACTGTGACCTTACCTATACATAAGGTCTATCAGCATCTCTGGATCCTCCTGATGTTCCTTCATCTTTACTGTGTCTGTCAGGATCATGTGCAAGTTAAAGACAAGATCTTGTACCTGAGCAGGAAAAGGAGAAAGCAATTTCTATATAAGCAACAATGAAAAACTACTTATAAAAATCATGTAAACATGATAGATACTGGCTTAGAGATGCCTGAAAGGAAACCATTTTCTTTTTTTATTTAGTTAGAGAAATCTCACTGTTATCATGCAAAATATTTTTATTTCATGTCTGGTATAAACAGAAACACATATCTCCATTGTAATAATACTAAATGTTTCGAAAGTCAAGCCCTTCCTTTTGGCAAGCATACTATTAATACTCTGCACACCAATCAGAAATGCTGTAAATGAGTGGATTTTGTTCCTTCCTTCTATTTTCCCCCAGTTCACATTTCCTATCTGCATTTTATGTGTATTAGGTGTGTGCCCACCAAATACTGCCTTCCACTTCACCCCACAGTCTCATTCTATTTCTTTATTCAAATTGACATGTCATTAGCTATTTTTCCTTTACATAGTTTTTCCCAAGTATTGTCTTTGGGTTTCCTTCACTTAAAGCTATAGGTAGTCCTTGACTTACAACAGTTCGTTTAGTGACTGTTCAAAGTTACAATGGCACAGAAAAAAGTGACTTATGACAATTTTTCACGCTTATGATCTTTGCAGCATCCCCATGGTCACGTGATTTACATTCGGATAATTGACAATTGACTCACATTTATGATTGTTGCAGTGTCCTGGAGTCGTGTGATCACCTTTTGTGACCTTCTGATCAGCAAAGTCAATGGGGAAACCAGATTCACTTAAAAACCATGATACTACTTTAAGAACTGCAGTGATTCACTTAACAAATAAAGCAAGAAAAGTCGTAAAATGGAGCAAACTCACTTAATGAACTTCTCACTTAACAAATACATTTTGGGCTCAATTGTGGTCATAAGTTGAGGACTATCTGGACTGTTAGGTCTGCCAGGCTCAGCTTGGTGCCTCACAGGCATCCTGGGATCAAAGGCCAGAAAGAATAGATGGGCAATAAAGCTGTGTGTGTATGTGATGGGAAATAAGGAGGGGGGAATGACAGATGATAAAGACCACAGATGCTCGCAACCAGTTCGTACCAGCATCCAAGGCCAGGCACCTTGAGAAAGAACGTGGGTTACCCCAATACCTCTTAGCATTCTCAAAACACTTCGGTGAATTCTGATTGACTGAAGATGGACTGGTCATGGTGAGGGGGGGAAGGCTGGGATGAGGGTAAACCTTTCTGTATCTTTTGAGCACGGAAAACATAAATCTTGCTGAATTTACTGCAGACATCATCTTCTTAGTAAAGGAATCTTTTGCTTCAACCAAATGCGGTCAAGGGTTTCTCTTTCCTAAGGGATCAGATTGGGGAAGAGCTTTTTACACTCTCAAAGCACGAAAAACCCTGGCCAGGGAGGCACACCCCGCTGACCAGCCGACTCCAACCACAGCAAGCAATGGAGCCATCATCTCTGTTGCTGCAATGGCAGCAGCAGCAGCAGGAGGCCCCATGGCAGTGGCAGCTGCCCCTGCAGCTGGCCCCATAGGCCAGCCTGCATCAGCTGTAAGGGCAGTGCCAGCGTGGCCAAGAGGACACAAGATATAAACCCTGGGTGTAAAGTTCAATGGAGATCTCAAGCAGCTGGGATTCTTCCTTACACAAATTTGGACATACATGCAAGAGTATGGTCCAGAAATAGCCACCAAAGGGACCAAGGTGCGGTGCATGAATATGGCATTGGAGAAGACTGTGACTGAATGGTCACCCTCCATAACGATGACGCCCTGGAGTTGAGAAACTTCAACCAGTTCATGGCCACCCTTTGGAAGTGCTTCGAAGACCCAAGCCAAGCCAAGGGCGCAGGGCCAAGTACACCCAGGAGTTTTGTGACCTGGTCTGCCAACTGGCCAGAAGACATCGATCAGGTTAAGTGGTGAGGTCTACAACACCTGTATCTCCAGGGGTGCTCTCCTCCCCTCCATGGCAGGTATGTCCTAACAAAGGAAGTGGAAATTGACTTGGCTTGATCCAAATATCGGCTGAGCTGTGGGTGGTGAAGATCCTTCCCTAAAAAACACTGTCACATGAGCAGAGCTCATGCTGACAATCCATCAATTGCTTCAGGTGTGGGAAGGCAGGACACCAAGCTGATTGCCAAGCCATATATTCAACCCGGAAGGCAACTCTAGGACCTGTCAAAAAACCGGGGAAACCGCCACAGAGAACCTGCGAGACAGCCCTGAAGGGAGTAGAGGTTGTACAGTTCACCTCATTCCCCAGCCTGATGATCCCTTGGTAAGTCACACGGTCAACCCAGTGACCATCCCCATAATGGTTTAATCTTCAAGGAGAAAAGGGAGCCTAGTAGCCCTCCTGGACTCAGGGTGCATCAGATGTCTGGCTAACCCTACCCTGATCAAGAAATTGGGTGTGACACTCAGGCAATTTGAAGTGCTCATAGATTTTGCCAACTGGATGGCTCAGTGGCATGGGAGATCCCAGCGACATTTGTCACCAAGCCAATAGAGAAGAGGATTGGCACACACACAGAGACCCTAAACTTTATCATGGCCCCTGTCATGGAGAGACCTCTTGTGTTAGGACTCTTTTGGCTTCTGAAATGGAACCCCTATGTGAACTAGAGGAGGGGATTGCTAAAAATCTGGCAGGCCAGCTGCAAAAGGGAGAAGGACCATAAGCTGCCATGGGCAAAGCCTAGAAGGGAGGAGGAAGCAGGCGCCAATGACCAACTCCAAGGTGAATCTCTGATCCCCGAAGAGTACTGGAACTTATGTGATGCTTTCAGTGAAAAGGGGTCAGATGCACTCCTACCCAATCAGCCGACAGACTGCTCCATAGAAATCCTACCAGGAGACAAACTACCAAAACCCAAGATGTATTCCATGACCCCTAGGGAATTGGAGGAACTACAGACTTTTATAGAAAAAAAATTAAAGTGTGGTTTCATCCAGTCCGACACACCGGCTGCCCTGGTACTGATTCAGGAGAAGAAGGATGGGTCCCTTCATCTATGCGTTGACTATCAGGGGCTCAATGCTGTCTGCGTGGAAAATGTCTACTACTTCCCCTTGATGAAGGCATGCCCTTTGGTCAAGGAGGTCTTCACCAAATTGGATTTGCAAGAGGCATACTACTGAGTTAGGATCAAGGCGGAAGATCAATGGATTTCCCCTTAGGATGTTTCCAATTGCAAATCCTTGTTTTTGGACTGTAAGGGGACTCTGCTGTCTTTATGCAGCTGATAAACAAAGTGCTGCATGAGCATCTGTACAAGGGAGTGCTAGTCTACCTGAATGACATTTCAATCTATACTGAGACAATGGCAGAACACATAAAACTAGTCAGAGCTGTGCTCAAAAACTTTGAGTGGCCAAAGTATATGCCAAGCTATCCAAATGTGAATTTCACCAAAGTAAAATTGATTGCCTAGGCTACCGCATTTCCCATGAGGGGATAGACCCCAAAAAGGTGCAGGCAGTATTAGAGTGGGCTCCTCCCTGCACTCGGAAGCAACTGCAAAGCTTCTTGTGATTGTGAACTTTTACCCCCAATTCATTCCATTTGCCCAGATAGCTCTCCCCATCACCAACCTACGAGGGGGGGGGGAGAGG